TAACAATGGGGGGGGGGGGGGGAACGGTTCTTTTTCTATTTGTGTCTAGAAAAAAATGTAACAACGTTAACTCGTTTTTGTTTAATACTAAATCAAAATTAAATGCTTACCAAAGAAAATGAAATGTCCTCTCTTAAGAGACTATGAGGATGAGATTTTCATAAGGAATCCCGAGAGAGAGTTTTTATTACAACAAAGAAGAGGCTGAAAAGGTTTTTTTTTTCAGACAAACACTATAACTACCGTCTGAAGACAGATGTAATCACAATATCATATCTGGTGGAAGTCAAACTTAGCCACTAAATAGTTCTTTCTTTCTTTTGAAAGGCAAAGATGAAAAGAAAGCTTTCTTGGGTGGTGTTACTTTAGGTCTTCACATTTTATCATGTAGGGTCTCTTTCTCCGTGAAATACCGACACCCGACTTGTATAAGGGAATGAAACACCAGGCCATTGGTTAAGGTGCTTGGATTCCTCTCCTTAATTAAAGGAAGCTTGGCTGTCAAATGATCTGAATTTAATTAACTAGTTAACTTGTTACACGTACCAGGTTTATTACTACAGGCAAAAGGGAAAAGGGGAAAAAACATTGGGAGTAGCAGGAAGGTTTGACAAAACCTTATTGTCTGACTCTTAGTTTGCAATCCCGCTTCAGTTGCAAATACGCACCTTTGACAATACTCTCTGTGCGGCTATTCCTAAGACGCGGATCTTGATAGACTTTGCATAGGTACAAAAAAATCTGCTTTGAGAAAATAATGGCGTGAACTTTGTTAGCTCTCATTATTACAGGGTCTCAAAGCATTCGGCTGGAAAACTTGGGTTTGAAATGTCATTTAACAAAAGATAACGTGTTCGACTTTTGCAATTTTAAATTTCAAAACAATATTTTTATTGCAAAAATCATTTTGAGAGAGGCTTTTTCTATCTGTTCTTTACTCAAATGAAGATGCTTTTTCATATGCATTTCAAATCTTCCAGTTTTCAAGCAAACGACATAAGAAGTGAAAAATATGGACAGTCTTTGAAATGGCAATCCAGTTCTTTCTTCCTTTTTTCCCCTTATAGTTTTGCTTCTCTCCCCACCCCCCATTTCTTCCTTCTATTTTTTCCCAATCTTGATACTAAAAAGGAATAGAAAAAAGGGAAAAAAGAAGTAAAATAATCTGTTTTTTCCCCCACCCAAGTATGTTTCAAAAGATTTTGCAAGATTCACTATTTTTTAAATAGATACCATCAATGCATTTGGCTTCCTGATGTCTCCTGGAGGTATGGTCAACCTTGCCTCTAAAATCAGGATCTCCGACATTAAGAGTTCATGTAGTAGTCTCACAGGCAGCAGGCAGTCTGGACACCGGGTGCCCACTTCGAGAGGGCACTAGCATGGTAGCTGCTGCTAGCCCAGACATGGCTGCTGTCACTCGCAGCTGCCCTGGCCCCTGCACTGCCATTGCCCAGGGCACAGACCTCTGGTACTTACACAAGTTTGGGCAGTCACAAACTGATGGGTGTAAGGGATCTATGGAAGAGATCAGAATACAACTCGGGTATCTTAACTCCCAGTACTATATGGAGAGCATCTTTCAAACCATCCAGAAGAGTCATCATCATCTCCTGGCCTCCTTAGTACCAAAAGAAAGATTCCCACTTCCAGTGCTTTTGCCTCTGTTATTTTAATAATGACTTATCCATGGAGAAGACAGGAAGGATTCAGAATTGTCTTTATTTGATATAAAATACCGTTTGTTGATTGCCCTGAAATAGCATCATATAATGAAAAAGACACTGGGCCTCCTCCTCAGGCTAAGCTGGAAGAGGACGACCATCACATACTACCTAGTGATTATGTGGAGCCAGTGAAAGAGAGCTCAACTGCCAGAAAAAAAGTACTGCTCCATCTCGCATCTCTCAAAGTTTCCATATAGAAAAGCTAAAGTTAAACAAACCAAAACCAAGGCATATAGACTTGCCCATCCTCCCTTCATTTGCCCTACCAAGAATTACATTTAAGGAGAGCAGCTGGTTTTGAAAATGTGATAAAAAAGGCCATTTATTTCTTATTCCGCTGGGCCACATCAACATCTTTGCAATAACCCAAGCATGCTCCTTGCATTGACCTTTCTCAGTCTGGTTTGATTTTTAGCAGGATTTAAAAAAAAATAAAATGAATGACTCACTGGACGGCTTTTTGTGTAACGGCACAAGGGGAAGGGTGTCGTGCTGTTTGCTGGAGAAGCAAAGCAGTACATTTGAGAAACCAACGTTTTCAGAGTACAGGTTAATAATGAACCATCTAGTAAGCAGTGAGTCCAAATATGAGTATCTCTGGGGAAATCAAAGCTGTCCACTCTAAACTTTTTGGTGGAAATTTTCTTTAGGATGCAAGTACTTGGAACTCCTTGCCTGGTAGAGGATTGGAGACCTATGCTCTATCCATTGCTGAACTGGGTCAAGTCCCCCGCTGTGTAAGTGCTCAGGTCTTCAGCCCCATGTTTGAATTAAGTCCAGGTGATAGGCAATTGAAGCATTTGGTGAGGTAGGTGTCATTGCAGTTTCTGAGGCTGGAGATAGGTCATTAAACTTACCCATGACCTGTGGCTGGAAATTCAGTTACAGAAAGACACGAGAGCCTATGGCAGAACAGTTCAACCTCCCTGGACACACTATTGCTGACATCAGGATTGCTGTTCTCAGGCAGAAACATTTTAAACACCGGTTTGAACAGCAAATTTTGGAACAAGAAATCCGCCATCAACTGGGCTGTGTTAAGTATGGTTTAAACAGGGACCACAGAGTCTTATCCCATTACCTTGATTCGTTTTTGTGACCCCTTTGTTCCTATGAGGTCTTTGCTTGTTTGCCTCTCACAGCGCTCCCCCTCCGCCTTCTCTCTCCCTCCTGCTTTGTATTCAAATCACTCACTCCACTTTATACTCTGCTCTATGCTGTCCCTTCACAGCATCTGATGATGTGAACTTGGGCTCACAAAAACTTGTGCGCTCTCTCTCTCATACACACACACACTTATGTGTGCATGTATATATATATACATACACACACACATACACACACGTTTTAATCTTAGAAAGTCTATAATGGTACATATCCGTCCCGTCTTCTGACTGACTTCAGACTAACATAGCTAACTACCTTCTCTGTAAATTCAGCACACAGCATAAGCATACATTCAGGATGAAAGTAAAAATGGAACATTCCTTCCTTCCCCCTTTAAAGTTTTATTATCTGATAACAGCAGACAAGGAGTTACATATGATCATAACCATTTGCATCTATATGGGTGCATCTACATGTGCATTAATGCACTGTAGTTACTGCGTATTAAGTTTTTACCTGTAATAACAGGTACTAAATGCGCAGTAACTGGAGCTACTGCACAGTAGTGCCTGCACACACTTTTTTAGTGACAATGTGCTAAATGATGCATTAGAATTAGTAACTAATTCTATGATGCATTAGCGCATTAGCATGGCATTTGCGAATGCATAGAAGTAGTAGAATTAGTCTACTGCGTATTTAGTGTCTTGTGTAGATGCGCTCTGTGCATACACAATCACCAGTGATTAGATAGTGTATGCAATTGTCTACATGACGGAAGTGTAGAAGGGATCTCAAGAGGTTATCTGGTTCGTCTCCTGTTCTAAGGCAGGACTGAGTAGATCTAGAGCATTCATGGACAGGCATTTGTCTAACCATTTATTAGAAACCTCCAAAGACAGAGACTCCAGAACCTCCCTAAGTAACCTGTTCCAGTGGCTGCTAACCAACTGTATTGTTAAAAGACATTATTTCCTCATCTCTAACCTAAATTTCCTTTAGCTTGTGTAAGTATTTTTTCCTCCGAAAATCATTGGCCTCTTGTTCTTGAATGTCCATGAGCATCCAGTGATAATAGTAGTTGTTCCACCTCCTACTAAAAGTTGAGAGCATTTCAAACTGGTATAGAGCTGTCTCTTCATTCCAGTGTAGCAAAAACACTGTATGCAGGAGAGGACAACAGTACTTGCATAAAGGTCATGAACCTGAAATCCCCCAAAGGTGCATTATAAACTTAGATGAGAATAATTCACATATCTCGACCTCTCAGATGGATCGAGAGAAAATGGGCTCTCTTCCCTCTGCGAAAATTGAGTTCTGCAATGAGAAATCTTGGTGTTGCATGGGCAACAAATGGGGGGGCAGATGCCTCTTCACCAGTGAGGAACCAGGGCACTTGTGCAACTTTGCTATAGCCCGTATGCTTTGGTAGTGACTGTGACATTCTGCACTCTTTTAGCGATGGGTTCCCAGCAAATGCACGTATGTGGACAATGGATCCTCTCTCACAACCATTTCCCTGAACCCGCAGAGGTGGTATCTACCCGTACCTTGTTGTTGAGTGAGGAGCTTGGCTCTACGTCTGCACGCCATCTTTTGTGTGGCCTTTACAGTTTGTGACACCCAGGGCAGCACATCCCTTCCCACAGCTGTTCTAAAGCCATGGAAGGGCCTGGACAATGTCACCTACTGCAGTGTAAGCCCTGCTATTCACTTGGACCCCCACCGTGGCTTTAGAGGCAGTGCCCCAGAGCATTGGAAACCAGGCTGCCTCTCAATAGACAAATGGGCTGTGGTCCAGTTCCTCTGTTGCCCGTGTTTATCCTCGTGCATCGATTTGATTCTTGTTTGTTTGTTTCTCTCTCTCTTTCCAGTTACACAGTTCAGTGGAGTTTGGCAGAAGATGGCAGCTTCTCCACGAGGGAGTTGCACCAAATAGGTTCTACTGGTAAGAGCGAAGCACCGTTATCCATGTCTCTCTCTCTCTCTCTCTCTCTCTCTCTCTCTCTGTCACACACACTTGCACTCGTGCTCACATTCTTGCTCACATACTTGCAGTCGCGCTCTCACGCACACATACACTCACAGTCACACACACTATTCTGAGCACTGCTTCCAAATGAAGGCTTTGGAGCTGATGAAGAACAGCTGACGGAGGCCAACAATCATATAATCATAGAAAATGAGGGTTGGAAGGGACCTCAGGCGGTCACATCCAGTTCAAAGCAGGACCATCCCCAACTAGATCATCCCAGACAAGGTTTTGTTTAGCAGGGTCTTTGTCTCTGCCAGCACTCAATCAAACCTGTTGCTCCTCAATCTTTGTACTGAGGTTAATGGGTAGGATCACCTTTGGGGCAGGATCATCTTTTTTTTGCTGTGTGTCTGTAAGGCACCTAGAAGATATGGGTCCTAGTCTACAAGTGAGGCTCTTGGACATGCCTGAAATTAAAGAAATTCTAGCATACCAGGAAGTATTTTATCCCATCTCCTTAGTCTGAGCATCTATTCTAGAAGAGAGAACGCTGCTGCAAAGAGTCATGTCCACCTGCGGTGCTATTGTAACTCACAGTTCAAAGGATATGTTTCCCCTTTTGTTCCCAACACATAGACGATATTGGTTTGTTGCTGCTCCCAGTTGGGGGCATAGCATGAAATCCTAGACTCATTGTAATCAGTGTTACTGTTGGCCTGAGCAAAGCGAATCACACACTGGGACGTGACCAACCAAGTGATGCTTATCAGCAGAGGGAAACCAGATAAAGGGGTGAACTGATCTTGAAGACACCCGACAGGACAGGGCAGAGGGGCAAATCTTGGATGATGTTTGCTAAAATAACCTTTTATTAGAACACGGTCCATTTGTTAACTTAGGCAAATGATATTTGTAAATAATACTTGCCAGCAGGGAACTGCTTTGTAAGGTGCAACCAGCTAATGTATAAGAGGTGGAGGCAAGGCTGTATATCTTTGGTTGAATTCCCATATTTCTCAGTAGGCACGCCGCAAGCTCAGGGTAGCCGAATAAAGAGACACAATAACTTTCAAGTTAAGCCTGGTCATTTGGTCATTTCAGTAAGGGCTGAGTAGAGGATCAAGTGTGAAGGTCCAACTTTTGGTATTGACTTCCGGGGCCAGGATTTCACCCAGGTTTTTTAGCTCCTGTGAGGAAAACTTATGGTTTTAGCTTGGGTTATCGTTGGTTCAAACCAATGTCGTCATATACTATACACACAGCCTTCTTCACTTCCTGTTGTAAATCACTGCGAGCTGTACGCTGTTAAACACCTGCTCTGAGATTCTAGTTTAGGTTCAAGGCCAAAGTTATCTGCATATATTTGGGAGCCATATTTGCAGTTGAATGCAATATGGCTGGAAGATTGTTATAACTGTGGGGCTGGGGACAGGAATGACACATAGACCAAGAAGAGGTATCAGAAACTGGTTCAGATTTGTAAAACAACAAAAGTTTAGTGCACATAAAGTGCTTTCAAAATGGCCCAAAGCAGTTGAAGATAAACCTGGATGGATGTACTATCAAACTTAGCTGAATTGGGTTAAATTGGTTTATTGAATTTCTGTCCCAGATCCCCACCAGATTCAAGTTAACTCATAGTCCTTCAGCATCCCAGGATGCTTTTCACCTTCCCTGCAAACCCCACCTTGCAGAGTGGGTGCGCTAGCCTTGGCTCAAGCTGTCTGCTCCCGTAGAGCAGGGTGGCATGCTCTAGTGTCCCCTGGCTTCTGGCCTGGGCCACTGCAGGCATGTGGCTGCATTTCCAGAATCAACAGTGAATGTCTGTTCACTTGCTTATCAGTTCAAACTATGCAGCTTAGACTAACTTGCAAAGACTGAATCAATTCAGCCTCAGGCTTTTTGATTGTCTGTTCTTAGCATGAGAGTCCAGGAAGTATGCAAGAGGTAAGGATATTTTTGCTGATATCTTTTATGGTACCAACTATCTAGCTGGGAGAGAGTTTACTAAAGCTCTGATGTAGATAGGAGTTTGAATTTGGAGTTAGAGCTTTGCCTTCCCTAATTTCATGGATCTGTCCATCTGAGGTATTTCTGTAGCCCCCCTTTATCATATTATTGGAATACATCACAATCTCTTTAATGAATGGTCTTGCCTGGGCTTCAATCTGGCATGGAGTCGCAGATTTCTCTGTGGCTTACGTTTGGACCTAGGTTCAGACTTTCCCAAAATCTGAGATTGCTCATCTCCAGCAGTTTTGTTCAGCATAATTTTGACTCAGAGCCTTTTTAGATTCATTCACCACTTATTTACAGAGTACTATTGTTACACAAATGCCTCCTTACATGATGATAGTCTCAGGCAGGTTTCACTGCACCTGCTTTCCATAACAATACATTGCCTACCCAACAGAATGCATTGTAATAGCACTGACAGGAAAATGCTTATTCCTAACTATCTACTCACCTTCTCTCAACAGGCAATTAGCATTACATAAACCTCGGTGTAAACGCACCTTAGAGCAGTAAGTCGCATGCTTTTGTGCTTTCCCGCCTGTGTGATATTCCAGATAAAAACATCATGGAGAATCTTAAACTATTATATGAGGGTCAGTCTAATCTCTCAGTTACACCAATTTAAATGTAGAGCAGTGATTTTCAAACTTCTTCTGGCCCATTGCCTATGAATCCATGTTGTGAGTAAATAAAAAATACTACCACACCAACCTTGGAGATATTATAAAGTTGCTCTTTATTTTTTTTTCTTCCCTTCCTTCCATTTATAT